CTGTCCCCTGGGCTGGAGCTTCTGCACACACCTGTGGCGTCTGGGGAAATCTTTAGTTGCTGGGAATCAGCCAGGACGCTGTGTCTGGTGTCTGAGCCAGCACTTGGATGTGGCCCCAGAAGAGCCTTTCTGTCCGTCCCTACTGCTGAACTTAGAGTTCTCTGAGCACAGTGGGTGCTCTTTGGTCCCACCGAACAGTCCACAGGTGTCTTCCTGTCACTCAGTCCTGCCTCCCACCTGCAGGGCTGGGTCCCTGTCCCTTTGTCACCCTCATTCTCCACCACGGCCACAGCTGACGCTAAAGACGGAGCTGGCTGTCTCCCCAGTAGCTGCTCTTGTGTGGAGTCTGACTGAAGAATGAGGAGGACATGTCTCAGATACATTTGTTTTCCTCCTGCCGCAAATCTCTCATGGGGCGAAGGTTTTCCAGCATCTTACCCTGTCCGCCTCAAGCTCTAACTCTTGCTCGTCCCCACCTGACATCTCACACTCTGGCCACTGTGAACTTTACATTTCCAGAACTTCATACCTGGCTCTTGCTTCTTCTTTGCCTGGTAAAAGTACCTCAGTCCAGGCCCTGCTGTCTTTCCAATGCAGACTTTTGTTTTTTGGTTAAGATTTTATTTATTTATTTAGTAACTTCTTCACCTAATGTGGGGCTCAAACTCACAGCCCTGAGATCAAGAGTCGCATGCTCTTCCAACTGAGCCATCTAGGCGCCCCTCGAATGCAGGCGTTTTTGAGTGTTCTTACCCTATGGGATGAATCCACACGGTGTCGGCCCATGTACACAAATGTGGGTCCCTGTCTCAGCACGTGTGTGGCTCTGTCTGCATACCTGAGTCCCTTCAAGGCAGGAGTATGCCTGTATTGGTACCTGGGGCACCGTAAATGCTCTCCTTGAAGTAGAGCCGGAGGACAGATGTTTCTGAGAAAATTATACTCAGAGTCTAGAATTACAGACTTCAGTATGTGCCTTGACTTTTCCATTAACTGGCACCTGACCTTGGGCAAGTTAGCTAACCTTTAAAATGTCAGCTTTAGGGGAGCCTGGCTGGCTCAGACAGTGGAACCTGCGACTCTTGATCTTGGGATTGTGAGCTCGAGACCCATGTTGGGTGTAGAGATGACTTAAAAATAAAATATTTTAACAAAATAAAATGTCAGCTTTGTCATCTTTGAAGTGCGGTAGTGACAGAATAAATGGGAGAGAATTGAATGAGAAAATCCATGCAAGCCGTGTAGAATAGTGCCTGATACATGGTAACCGACTGCTTGAAGGAATACATATATTTTAAAATTATTTTTTTAAATAGGTGAAACTGGCTCATGTCACATAATTCAAAAGATCTAAAACCGTGTATGGTGGACAATCCCCTGTTCATCCTTGTCCTCCATGTACCCCTCCCCAGGGCCTGGGCAGCTACTGGGCTCTCTGTGTTTTTTAAATGATCAAGGGCATGTTATTATATATTATGTATCTATTGGTTTTTAGCAGGATGGGGGGCATACTGTATATGTATATATTTTTTGCAGTTTACTTTTTTGCTACCTGGTATCTTTTATGAAATGTCTAGGGATTGTTCCCTTATATGGATAAGTAATTATTTAGGTTATTTGCAGTCTTTTGCTAATACAAACAATAATAAATTTATATAAAATCCCTTTGACTCTAAATACTTTAGTGTGTATTTCCTAAGGCCAAGCTATACCATCTTAGACGATCATAGGACAGTTACCAACATCAGGGTGTGAAAATTGATCCGGTCCACAGATCTTATTCAGATTTCATTATTTGTATCACTAATGTGCTTGATAAAAAGGAAAAAAAAATCATGCGTACTTAAAAAATTGTGGTAAATATTGCTGATTTTCCTCCCGTGCAGTTGTGTCCATTTATGTTCCCGACAACACTGTGTGGAGTGCCTGTTTGCTCATAGCCTTTTGAACAGGTTGTTATCCAAATCTAGGGATCCCTTGTACTCATCGATAGGTTAAAAATGGTTTCTTATTGTAGTTTTAATTTCATTTCTCTTAAAAGAAGTCAAAGGTTGAGCAGCTTTTCATGTTAAAGAGTCACCTGCATTATTCTTTTTGGCTGACTGTTGACTTTTATTTGCTGTAATATATTAAAGATGACAGTATTTTGAGAGCGTATATTCTCTTCTAATTTGTCTTTTTGAGTTAAAAGGGAGAAATGTTATGTATCTCCATAGCCAAATTTGTCAGTGTGCCACAATTTTGGACTTGTATAATACTTAGACTTTGATACTGACCTTATGGGAAGTAACCTCTTTTATCTAGCACTTTCCTACTTTCGTATTTTAAACTAAATCTTTGACTCAGTTTTATTTTTTGTTTGCAGACAGACCCCTCTGTCCAAACACCATGCCACCATACCATTCTTTATACCCACAGCTCTATATGGGTCTTGTCTGGACTGTGTTCTGGGCATGAATCTTTTTATTCATGTGTTCTGGTAGCTCTGTGGTATGCCTTCGTAACTAGCAGGCCTAGTCCTCCCCAGTTACACTGTTTTCAAAGGGTATTTTTGACGATTGTCACATACTTACTTTTTCATGTGTACTTTAGAATTGTCTGCTAAAGTTCCAGAGCCCTAGTTTTTAAAAAAATTCTATTGGTATTTGTAAATAAGTGATTTAACCAGTGAGAATTGATGTCTTTATAACTTTTAGTCTTTGTACCAAGAATAGGGTGTGTATTTCCATTTATTCAGATCTTTTCTTTATATTTTTTTCATATTTTAATAGTAGTTCAAAACTTTCTTCTGGATTTTGTTAGATATGAATGATGCTGATTTCCGGGTATTAAAATGTGGGCCTATTTCTTAGTTTTAGGTTTTTAAAGGCATATAATCGGGCACCTGGGGTGGCTCAGATGGTTAAGCATCTGCCTTCAGCTCAGATCATGATCCCAGAGTCCTGGGATCGAGTCCCGCATCAGGCTCCCTGCTCCTCCCTCTGCCTCTCTCTCTCTCTCTGTCTGTCATGAATAAATAAATAAAATCTTAAAAAAAAAAAATAAAGGCATATACTCATATCATTTGTAAATAATGATTTTACCTTTTCCTTATAGTTTATACTGTATATTTCTGTATCTTATCCAATTTCATTGGCTTGTATCATTAGAATACAATAAATTCAATGCAGCAATAGTGGACTTTTTCCTGATTGTAATGGGACTGATTTTATTACTTTCCTATTAAGTCAGATGTTGTATGAGATATGTTTATTCAGCTCCTCCTGTTTTTAGACAGTTTTTTAAAAGTTAAGACTAGATGTTAAATTTTAGTAATTGCCTTTTCATCTTGAAGATGATTCTCATATATGTTTTTCCTTTTAAATATATTAATATGTTGGAAGAAAAAGGCAGTTGCCTAGCACCAGGGAAATTTGCCGTGTAGGAATGCAGATATGGGTTTCCAAATCTTTCAGTTTGTCAAAGGGTCGAATATCTGGATTTAATTTTTTTTCTAATAGTGCGTGGGCCAAACAAAACATATGGGGGCCACATTTGGAGACATCTGCAGGGCTGCTAGTCTAATTTCTGTTCCAGTCCATTCCCAAAAATAATTAGAGCCTGGTGACAGTTTTATGTTATGTCATCGTGGGTAATTAAAGATAAAGTTTTCATTTTTGCCCGGAAAAAACCTGATGGGGTGGGGATTTCCCAAGTTTAGCTAATAGGTACTATAGTTCCCCCACCTTTTTATACCTTGCTTTTCTGATTTGTCATAAGACCATTAGATAATTATTACACTTTTATGACTTAATTTTTATCTGTTGGTATTAAACGGTCTTAAATTTCAGACTTCTGTAATATGAACAATATCACCATAAAATAAATGTCTCTCTCTCCTTTTTAAAGCCACTTCCCTTATTTCCTACTTTTTTCCCTGTGGTTTGTCCTGGTTTCCATTGTGTGACTGTTTTCAAAAAATGCTCTTTTTTATTCTTTTACCTAACCTCATTTCCTATGTTAATTAGTCTTGAAAAGAGCATTGTATTCAGGAAAGTATTTTCTTTCCTTATAGATTCACTTAACATAAGGAAAATTCCTTGCATTTACTAATAATAGAGAACCAAATAAAAGATTTTCCCCCAATAAAGCTATGTCTGTACAGACACAGTTAAATAAACAGTTAATATTTTCTGATGAATTTCATTAACTTGGCCAAAATCTGTGTAATTTCAACTGGGTTCTTTACCTCATTGTAGATGTCTATTTAACTACAGATGAGTAAATCTAATAAAAAATTATGAAAGATAAAAAGTGATCCTGCTGAATTTTGTTTTTAAAATTTTTGTAATTTAGAAATCATTTATTATATTTCCATAAATTCGGCTTGTGATTTTTCTTCTGATAGGAATAGTTTTAAACCTGATTGAAAGTTGAATAATAATATTTAAAGTTACAAAAGAGTCTTTTATATTTGATCATGAACTAGTATATGTCATATGTACTATTTCTTTGTCGTAACTATTTGAGTGCCTTTTTACAGCATGAAAATTCACCATCTAATTATTTGCACGTGTATTACATTTTATTCATGACATCAGATAGATTCAAACAATGCTTATTCCAACTTCTTTCCTTGTCTTAGTATTCTTTGAGTTAATTTTGGAGTTATTTGCTCACATTGCTTTTATTCACATTTACAGTGGACTGAGTTTGCTCCTCCCAACTGTTGCTTTATATTACCTGTCCACTTAGCGCTCTTACCTCTCACAGACTATGATCTGTGTTCTCATGGGACTGTCCAGATTTTCTGCAAGATTAAATCACAGTCTTCAATAATTTCAGTGATCATGGAAATGTCAACTTTTTTCATAATTGATCATCTATCTTCTGCTGTGGCAAAACGTATATAGCTTTTTATAGGTATGGTATATGGTTTTAATCTAGCCCTAGAAAGACATTCAAGTGCCTTCATATTTGGTATCATAGCTGGGCTGTTGGTGTTTTTCATTTGGCTGCAGGTTCAATCCGCGAGGAGAATGGCGTCCGGTGGCATGTGTGTCCTTACTGCACGAAGGAGTTCCGGAAGCCTAGCGACCTGGTGCGCCACATCCGCATTCACACCCACGAGAAGCCCTTCAAGTGTCCGCAGTGTTTCCGGGCCTTCGCTGTGAAGAGCACCCTGACCGCTCACATCAAAACACACTCGGGCATTAAGGCCTTCAAGTGCCAGTACTGCATGAAGAGCTTCTCCACCTCGGGGAGCCTCAAAGTACACATCCGCTTGCACACAGGTGCCACGGGGGTCCTCTGGGAACACGGGGTCGCATGGTCTGCGGACAGTCGCGGAACACTTCGAGGGCTCATGTTTCGTTCTTTTCTTAAGTACTTGTGATTACCGTCTAGAGGCGAGGCTCCGGGTGTGTGTATGCTGGTAGAGAGAGAGCCAATGGGACTTTGATTCTCAGGGAGCTGATGGCTTAATGAGGGAGGCAGTAAGCAGTCCCACTTAGGGAAGAGCCAAGAGACGGTGCTCGAGAGCAGCCACGCTTGGAGGTAGAGGAGGCGGGCCTTTCTGTGCAAGAGACGCCTCAGGTGGGGCATTTGTGCTGAGGCTTGGGCAGCGAGGGAAAACCGAACACCTACTCTACCTTTTCGGATATTTTGTAATCAGTATCAAGGCATGAAAATGCTCGTATTGAGGCAGTAATTTTATAATAGTTTTATTGAGATATAATTCACAGATCATAAAATTTACTCTTCAAGTGAATTCAGAATTCACTTTATTCAGAAATTGTGCAACCCACCCAACTATCTATTTTCAACATTTTTATCGCCCCTCCCTCCTGGAAGAAACCCCGTACCCATTTAGCAGTAACTTCCCCTACGAACCTGGGGTTCCTGGGCCGAGCTGACCATGTGGATGAGGGTTTGAAAACACTAAAATGAGTCAGATTTGTTATATGCCCTTCTTAGGACTCTCCAGTTTCATTTACCAATGAAACTGTAAGTGAAGGAAATTTCCTTCAGGAAAGCGAATTGATAGTGGAGAATTGTTAAGAGGAAATTATCACTGTCGTTATCATCATCAGCAGCAGCATTACTTACAACTAATAACAACTACTGTTCACTGCTCCTTTGCTAAATGCTCAGAGCTGCTAAGTGCTATTTCGACCTGAGTGCGTTCGCTCCCGGCAACCAGCCTGGAGGCAGGCGCTGTTATTCCAGTATGCAGACGATGGTTTGAGAGAGAGAGCAGTCTCACACACTCTAGTATTCTTAAGGACTGAATGTTTAAATATTTTAAGGTTTAAATATTTTACACTGCAAAGTTAACAAATGTTCTTTTTTACTTAAAATGCTCTTATTGCATCTAAATATGCACTGTATGCCAACAAGGGAAAAGAAGTCGAATTTATAATATCCCTGAAATTATAAGCATGAAATGATGAATATTCAAATCAGTATTAAAGTACTGGAATTTTATGTTGGCATTAGTTGTTGAGATGTATTTTCTTGAAATAATTCTACAGTGTCTTTTTATTTTTATTAGGGGTCAGACCTTTTGCTTGTCCTCACTGTGACAAAAAGTTTCGAACCTCAGGCCATAGGAAGACTCACATTGCTTCTCACTTTAAACACACGGAGTTAAGAAAGATGAGGCACCAGCGTAAACCTGCAAAGGTTCGAGTCGGCAAGGCCAACGTTCCAGTCCCCGATATTCCTTTGCAAGAGCCGATTCTCATAACTGACGTAGGTAAGATTCTCTTCCCCTTTGTACCATGCAAGGATTATATAAATATTACGGTCTACATAGTTTTAAGCATGGTGTTAATGAAGTTTTTGTTTGGCATTTTTGCTTTATGGCCTAGAATGTTCCACAATCAAAATGAAAATCCTAGTTCTGTCTAAACTACTGCTCAAATTGTGTTCTTGGTTAAGGAAAAAATGATGTATACAAGTGAAGGTATTAGTATGTAAGTTCTCATTGAAGAAAAATTTCTGCCTCAACAGAACTATCAAAGTGTTCTTTATGTGAAATACACAGTGCCTTTTGTTATTTTTATATTAAGATCTCTATGTAGTATGTAACAGATTATTGTATGGCTACTTTAATCTTTGGACCGAAAAGAAAAATTGCCAGCTTTTAAGGTTTTTTTTTAGGCTCAGTGTTATAATCAAGGTAAAGTACGATTTTGTTAAAAGAAAATACTGCTTATGAGGATCTTCAGAAAAATGTTTTTGTAAGTGCCAAACAAAATTAAAGAAACTTCATTAAATTCTGTGCTAAAACTTTTATTTTTGTGCAGTTCCTGTATTTCATTATGTCTTAGGCAAGATAATCCAGTCTATGAACAAAATTAACATTAAAGTATAACTGAATAAGTTAAGGTTAAATGGTATAAAGGGAGATATTTTAGGTTAATATAAATTATAATCTGCTAATAAGATGATCAACAATCATGAATCTTTATTTAGGAGCATTGCATAAAATATATAAACCAAGAACAATTAGAAGAAAAGAGAAATATTCAAATTGTAAAGTATAGTGAAAGATCCTCAATTCAATCAATTTAACTAAACAGTGAAACTAAAAGAGAATTTGAAGTACACATATAAAAAGGGTTATTTTATAGCTTTGTAGAATCTTTTACTCTATAGTACATACTCTTTTAAATATACATGAGACAGAAAGTTGATCAAATCCTAGGATATAGAACTTTAAATTTTCCAAAGTAGACATTGTGCAGGACACAATCTTTGATTATAGTTCAGTGAAAGCATAATAGAATACAGCTAAATGTGTTAGCTATAGTTCAAATAGCTAACACATTTGAAAATTTAGATGAAATGGACCTTTTCTAGAATAATGTACTTATCATAATTGACTATAGAAGAAGTGGAAAACTCCAAAACAGACAGCAAGTAGAAGGTCATCCTCCCCAAAGTATCATTCTCTGATGATTTTATGTCTAAGATCTACTAGGCTTCCAAGGAACTATGATTCTTAGCGGTATTAGTTGTTCAAAGCCAAGAAACTGATCAACGCTCCCATGGGAGGTTAGAATACTTTGATGTACTTGTCCACTTTTTGGTAGCTCATAAAGCAAAGCAACAGATGGTTTTTCTTAATGTGTATTTAATCTTTACTATAATCTGTAGGTTCTCAATGGTTTGTGCTATACCTGAAATGCAGAAAAATCTCTGAAAGTCAGGACAAATTCAACATTTATTTAGTGGCCCTAGAATTATCCTTCATGCTTGAGAGTTACCTTCAAATTACCAGTTTTTTCAGTTTGCCATTAATCAAATTAAACACCTGTGGGTTTCTTGACTTGAAGTTTGTAAGCCCTTAGTTGAGTTCAACTACAGTCCTAATACTCCAGACATTTTCCAAGGTTAAAATGGGGTACATTTTACTTGTTGATTTCACAGATGCCTGTGAATCAAAACTTGGACCGAATTAGTGGAAGCAGAACTCTTCTTTGGTCTAGGCTGAATGAGATACATGAGGGAAATGATTCATAGGGTGGCTTCAAATTGTAAAATGTAAAATATTGTAAATATTTTCATGCTTAACTTCATTATTATTTATATTTGTGTCTGTCTCTTTCAGACTCTGAGCTCCTTGGGGTTCTGTAGAAAAGCGTGACTTTAATAACCTTTGGGGGACAGATTTTGATAAAAACATGACAGGGTTTTTAGCATAGATTAGTTAAAAATATTTGACTTCATTGGGAGATGAGCTGGTCTAGTTCAGCCTAGTTACTTAAAACACAATATGTCATTTAGACTAAGACTGTCACTTAGGAAAGTATTAGAATGCATTAAAACGACTGTACCAAGTCATTTAGTCTGCATATTAAGGAAGCACTGTTGGTGGTATAGTACCATATGGTCATACAAACTTTTAGAGCTGTATAGGAGCTTAAAAATAGTCATTCCAAAACCTCTCTGTATTCCTCGTTTGTACAGATGTAAAAACTAGGCTCTAGAAAGAGTTACAATGTTGCTTTTAGGTTATACAACTAGTTTGTACTCATGGTAGAACTAGAATCTGGATCTTCTGACTTCTAGACCAGAGTTGTGTTCAGTAAAATTCACTTCCTCTGCATACCCATTGCCATTGCATGCCCAGGCACAGAAGTGTGGAAGAGCACAATATGAATTTCAAGTAGTCATTGTATCTTGGTATCAAGCACCAGTAATTTTTACTGAACTTGAATATTGTGAAATTTATTGCATGTTAGGGACTGTATTTCACTAGACATGCTCTCTTATACTCTAAATGTTTTTTCTTCTAATTCAAGAGCTAAATTTTAAATACAGTTATGTGCAGACTGGGGAGGTATTGGAGTCAAAGTGATCATAATATTCAGAGGGAGTTCATTATTCCCATCATAAAAAGCTGAGAGAGTTCATTACCACCAGATCTTCTTACAAGAAATGCTAAAGGGATTTCTTTGAGTGGAAGTAAAAGAACAATAATTAACATCGTAAAACATTAAAAAGTAGCATAAATCTCATTGGTAATGGTAAATATGCAATCATAGTTAGATTCTGCAGTATGGTAATAGTGGTGCACTTTACTTACAACTCTTGTTTAAAAGTTTAAAAAAAGAGAAGTTAGGAAAAATAACCATAACTACAATAATCTGTTGTTACATAGTATAAAAAAACATATAAATTGTAACAGCAATAACCTAAAATGTGAGAGGGAGGAGAAGTGTAAAATTTATGAATTCTATTGAAGTTATTATCTGTTTAAAATAGGGTGTTACAAGTTTAAGGTAGTCTATGTAAGCCTCATGGTGACCATAAGGGAAAATCCTATAGTAATTGCACAAAAGAGCATGATAAAGAAATTAAAACATACTGATACCAAAAGGCATCAAAGCGCAAAAAAGACAGCAGAATAAGAAACAAGGAACATTGGATCCAGAAAACAATTAACAAAATGGCATTAGGAAGTTCTTACTTATCAATAATTACTTTAAATGTAAATGGATTAAATCCTCAAATTAAAGGACATAGAATTTCTGAGTGGATAGCAAAACAAGACCCAGTGATATGCTGCCTACAAGAGGCTCATGTTAGCTTTGAAAAGATTCACATAGTCTGAGAGTGAAGGGATAGAAAAAGACATTTCAAGCAGATAGTAACCAGAAAAGGCAGAGGTAGTTATACTTGCATCAGATAAAATAGACTTCCTTCCTTCCTTCCTTCCTTCCTCCCTCCCTCCCTTCCTTTCTATTTTTAATTTTTTTAGACAAAATAGACTTTATTATTTTTATTTTTTTTCAAAATAGACTTTAAAGTAGAAATGATGAAAAAAAAGACAAAGGAGGTTGTTATATAATGATAAAGGGGTCAATACATCAAGAAGATATAACAATTGTAAATATTTGTGCACCCAACATGGGAGTACCTAAATATATAAAGCAGAAACTAACAGCTAAAAGGAGAAATAAACAGTAAAACAATAATCATTGAGGACTCTAATACTCCACTCTCAACAATGAACAGATCATTCAGATGGAGAATCAATAAGGAAACAGCAGATTTGAGTAACACTTATAAACCAAATGGACCTAACAGCCATATACAGAACATTCTAACTAACAGCAGCAGAATACATATTATTCTCAAGCACACATTAGACATTTTCTAGATTAGATCATATGTTAGGCCACAAAAAAAGTTTTAGCAAATTCGTAATAGTCAAAAATCTCCCAACAGAGAAAAGCCCAGGACCAGATGCATTCACTAGTGAATTTTACCAAACATTAAAGAAGAATTAACATCAACCTTTCTCAAACTCTTCCAAAAAATTCAAGGAGGAAGGAACATTCCCAAACTCATTTTATAAGACCAGCATTATCATCATACCAAAACCAGAAAAGGACACTACTAGAAAAGAAAACTACAGGCCAATATCCCTGATGAACATAAATGCAGAAATTCTTTATAAAATACTGCTAAACCAAATTCAGCAGCACATTAAAAGAATCATTCACCATGATTAGGTGGGATTTATCACAGGGATGTAAGGATGGTTCAACATATGCAAATCAATGAATGTGGTATGTTACATTAACAGAATGAAAGAAAAAATTCATGTGATCCTAATAGATGCAGAGAAAGCATCTGACAAAATTCGACATGCATTCATGATAAAAAATGTGATGAACAAATTAGGCAAAGAAGAAACATATCTCAACATAATAAATGCCGCATATGGTAGGACTACCGCTAAAAATATACTCGATGGTGGAAGGGTAAAGGCTTTTCCTCTAAGATCAAAACAAGACAAGGGTACCCATTCTCACCACTCCTGTTCAACATGGTGCTGGAAGTCCTAACTAGAGCATTAGCATCAAAAACAGTAAAATACTTAGGAATAAATTTAACCAAGGAGGTAAAAAATCTGTACCTGAAAACTAAAAGACACTGATGAAAGAAGTTGAAGAAGACACAAATCAATGGAAAAGTATCCCATGTTCATGGACTGGAAGAATTAACGATGTTAAAATGTCAATACTGTCAAAGCCACATGTGGATTCAGTGCAAACCTATCAAGATTCCAATGGTGTTTTTTACAGAAGTAGAAAAAGCACTCCTAAAATTGTTATGGAACCATAAAGAACCTGAATAGCCATGGAAATCATGAGAAAGAACAAAGCAGGAGACACCATGCTTCCTGAGTTCGAGCTGTACTGTAAAGCTGTCATCACAGATACAGTGTATTACCGGCAT